TTAGGTTTAGGGTTAGGTTAAGGGTTAGGTTTAGGGTTAGGTTTGGGGGGCTTAGGGTAAGGTTTTCGCTTTATTTTTACATTTTTCGATCTTTTTCGTCGTGCTGTGATGACGTCACATACGTGCTTTCGTCGACCGCGATTTTGTGGTCCGCGGTTTTGTGGTGGAACCGAATCGCTTGGATCAGATCACCCCAAAAAAGTGATCTGCCTCCCAACTGGGGTGGGGGCAGGGTGGGGCGCTCTGGAACTTAACCAGGGTGTTAACCTAGCCATTGGCTAGAAAGCAGAAGCCGAAAACAGGAAATAGAAATCTTTGATGGTGTTTTCGGTTTCTTTCTTTCTTTCTTTTTTCAACTAGTATTGAATAAAAATTAACCAAAGTTACTAATGAGTATCAAACTTAAAAGTACAATGTAAATATAATGGCGATACGTACAATTAATATGGTTACAAGGGTTAGTACTACTGTTATTACATTATTAGAGAAGTTAAGAGTCTATCGGGATGCAATGGAGAATGACGAAGGCTGGAAGAATCGATTTATCGACCACTTCTTGCAAAAGCTCCGGCGCTTCTCTGAATTGTGCAGTGCACAATGTCCAGTCGGAGGCAGGATGGATGGGCAGGTGGGAGGGGAGGCCTGACCTTCTCCAGCACAGGGTTCCAGGCAGACCCACCGTAGCCTTTTCGCTGCATGCAAAGCCGGGCTAAAGGGCATTGGATACTGTAGGCAAGCGACCCGTCCGCTCCTACCTCTTTAAGCGCGCTCTCTTACCGAGTGACCAAACGGGGCCATTGCGAGCAATCCTAAGCAAGGCCCAGCTGTGCTCTCCCCCAAAGGATGCGACTGGGTGGGGCTGGGATCGTTATCTCCCAGGATGCCCCAGAAGAAGCTGCAAGCGTCCGAAGAAGCCAGCTCCTTCCGTGCGTGGGGGAAGCGAGCTTGGTCCGGCCCCAGCATCAGGACGCGCCCTCCCCGCTCATGGCCCAAAGGACCCGAAGGCAAAAGAGAAGCTGCCCCGGCGTAGAAGAGGGTCGGCACAACCGCTCGCAGGAGCGCTCAGCCTCCAGCCCAAGGAAGCTGGGCGGCCACATCAGATCCCTTGCCTTCTGCCCTATTGGCCCAGGAAGCTTCTTGCCAGCTGGTTGCTGCGGCGACCGGCCTTTCGTTGGCAAAACAAGCCGGCAGCGGCTGAGGGGGCGCCGTCACCCAGTTCCCCAGCGCTGCGGAAGGCGCGCCCCCGCTTGGCTCCATGGAGCCGGTAAACAAACACGCGCCGCGCCCATGGGCCCGGCGGATGCGTGGGGAAGTGGAGTAGCGAGGCACGGAACCCGGGGGCTCGAAGGGGCCACGCTGGAGCGGCTCGAGAAGGACCGTTTGTAAGGGACGAGGTGGAGATCGGGGGCAAGCCGCTAGTTCCCAGGGCGTGGAGGAGATCAGCCTCTATATCTCCCAAGAGGAGAAGGGGAGAGGAGAGGGGAAGAAGAAAGGAGGAAGGAGAGGAGGAAAGAAGAAGGCAGAGAAGGGAGGATGAGAAGATGGAAGGAGGAAAGTTGTTGCAAAATAAGATGGAGGCAAGGAAGTGTTCCAAACTCTTATTTGTGTGTGTGTGTGTGTGTGTAAAATGAGCATAATGATGAATAGATAAATGTGAAATAGCAATTTTAAGAATGTATATCTGTGAAGGAATTTAAAAGGGAAAAAATAAAACTATTTGCTTGTAAAAAGAAATAAAAAAGCCTCTGTATCTCCCAGGCGCCATTCCCGGTCGCTGTTTGTAGCAAAATGTGTTTGATGATGTGTGGAGATGCCCGGCTTCCCCAATTTAGCCATCCTGAGCAGGGCACGGGCTGCCTTACACCACACACAGCTGCGGATCTTGCTCCAAGTGTGGTCAAACAAGCCGTCCCATCTCTTTCCTGGGCACCAAGCTTGGTGCCCCTCTTGGCAATCAGAAGTGCTCAGGGCCCCCCCAGGGAAGCGCCTTTCAATCTTCCCCATCAAAGCCAAATGCTGGGATGGCCTGAGTTTTGCAAACCACCAAGCGGTGAGCTTGAAGGTGTGCAATCCGGCCACGAAAGGCCCAGCTGAGCTGCTGGAAGAGGGAAGGTGGGTTTGAAACTGCCCATCAGGATCCCCGCCTCTCTCTAGAACCCACCTCTCCAGTGGGAAGTGGGCTCAGAGATCACCAGCCACCCAAAAGAGTGTTCACAGCCAGTCTTTTGTGAGAAAAAATGCCTTTGCAGCTGGCAAGGCCCTACCTACAAGCATCCATGTGCCCCATAGCAACCTGGCTGGCTGTTTCCATGGCAGCGGTGGGCGGCTGTATATAAGCCCCCCCAACTTTTGACCCTGCAGGATGCTGGCCTCTGCCCCTCAGCTCAATTACCCTTCAATCCAGCTATGTGACCAAGATCAGGTGGCGCAGGGGTTAGAGTGCAGCACTGCAGGCTACTGCAGCTGACTGCAGTTCGGCTGTTCAAATACCACCAGGCTCAAGGTTGACTCAGCCTTCCATCCTCCCGAGGTGGGTAAAATGAGGACCCGGATTGTTGGGGGCGATATGCTGATTCTGTAAACCGCTTAGAGAGGGCTGAAAGCCCTATGAAGCGGTATATAAGTCTAACTGCTATTGGTATCTTGTCCTGGGGAGTCCTATTATTATCTGTGTTTTTGCAGGGACTGAGGGGGGGGGGCATCTCAGCTTGGGGCAACGCTGACCCAGCTACTGTCTCGGTCCCACCTCACCCAACCCAAAATGGCAGGGGGCTGGTTACAGCAGCTTTGCAGCGGCGCATATCCAGCTAATTCCACTGAGCAAGCCAAAACTGGGTTGAGCAAACCACAGTCACATTAATCATAGCCGTTTCCATGAATACGGCTGCTTGCACGAATGCTGAAAGGTGGCTGCTCTGCACCAGCCACCGAAATGTGTGCCAATTGTACATCCCCGGCACACGCAAACACAAGGTTTTCAAATGGGGAATGGGGCAAGATGGGGCCTAATCTGGCAGATGGTCGTTGGAGATTCTCCTAGTCACTGGAGAAACTGGTTTCTTCCCAGCCACACAAAGCTTGGTGGTGGTGGTGGGGAGATGGGAGAAATTGGGATGCCTTTCCCAAGCGATGCTTCTATTGCTCCAATCCACAGCCCTCCCATGCTTGGTCCCACTGCCACTGTCCACTACACATTTATGCACCCCCCCCACGGGAAAGACGACCAATTGGACAGGTGTATACAACAAAATTTATTGCGTTATCTCACTATGCACCCATCCTCAGGGTGCACTACATAAGCAAGCTTCCCCCACTCCAGGTGGGATGTGAGAGCCCACCTCCTCTAGCTCCCCCTGGTGATCCTCTTTTGGTGCCCATCAACAGATCCAGGGGCTGCAGGGAACATCGATAAAGTGTCCCCCCACACACAGGGGAGAGCTGTCGTCAGTATACAAAAGTCAGTGGACACACCCCAGCAGGAGAAGACCCTCCTGGCTTACAATACTCATTCTAGCTTGTCAAAAGCCTGCTCAGGCGGTCTGGGAGTGAGAGGGCCAGTGAGGCACAAGCCAGCCCACCAGGAGCTCCTGTTCCTATCCCAGGAGAGGTGGGGGGGGGGCTGCCTTTCCTCTGCGCTGCTTGAAGAAAACCTCCAGTGGGGGTTCTTGTAAACCAGCTGTCTTTGCCCCCCCACCTTTAGCAGAGTCTCTCCTCTAGGGGCGCTCTCGTGGGGAAGCCAACCCGGGGCCTCCTGCAGGAGCAGCCCCGGGGCCCATTAGCAACTCCAATACAGCCTTGCTCCTTTTTTTTTCTCTCTCGGGAGAGTCTCTGGGCCAACCCAAGGAAGGGGCCCGCAGGTGAAGGGCCCCCTCTGGAGTCCTCCAAAGGAGATGCCAGGAAACCACATTCGCTTGGAGATCAAGTTGTAAGAGTTCCGTGGCTCTGCCCACCCCATGGACAGAGCCACCTTACACCGCAGAGCTCGCCCTGTGTTGGGCCGGGGCAGCCGCTCCTTGGCTCGTCCTGGTAGACGTCTTCATCTCGGGGGTCCCTGGAGCCTCCAGGCAGGGCAGGTGGGAGCGGAACTTCTGCAGCTGCTCGGGGCTAGCCAGGTTCTTCAGCAAGTGGTTCTCCCGCTCCAGGCGGCAGTTCTTCTCGGCTAGTTCTTTGATCTGCTCCTTGAGCACTTCCACCTCCTCCCGCACCGCGAACATCAGGTGATTCTTAACCAGGTCCTGGAAAGGAGGAGGAGGAGGGACACAGTCCCCGGTGAGTAAACACCAGTCCAGCTTCTGCGCCAGGTCCGCCCACCGCCGCGGCGCTGCCAGACAAAAGAGCCCGGAGCGGGCCTCGACGGCTCGAGTCCCTCCCGAAAGCGCCGGGATTCTTGCATCAGAGCGCGCGCCCGCGAGAGCCGCGGCGGGTCTGCAAGAAGCCCCCCACCCCACCCTCCGGGAAGAGGGGGGGCCCGTCTCCTCTCGCTAGCCCTACAATTAGCCCCCCTCCCTCCCTCCCTCCCCCCCCAAACTGAAAGGCTGGAGCTTCTCCGCATCTGCTCCGTTGACTTCCTCCCTGCGGAGCCCCGTTTCTCTCGGGGCAGAGCGAAGGGAGCGCGACGCCCCCCAAGCCTCCAGCAAGGCGTGTCCTGGCCCACCCCACCCTCCCGAGACACTCACCATGGCCTGTTCGATCTTGTTGTCGATGGCGACCACACTGGCCCCGGACGCGCTGCAAGAAACAAGAGAAGAGCGCCGCCGTCAGCATCCCAGACAGACGGGCCTGCCCGGCTCCCCCTCTTCCCCAGCCCGACAGCTCCTCTCTCTCTCTACCTGTTGTCTAGCTTGACCGACACCACGTCCGCCCCCAGTAAGGAGGAGAAGAAGGAGATGGAGAAGTTGTGCAGCTGGTAGACAGCCACCTCCATCGGGAGCGGGTAGAGGCCTGTGCTCATGGCGGGGGACGAGCGCGCGGAGAGCCCGAGGGAAGAGGACGGACCAACAACACAACAACGCCTCGACGGGGAGAAAGAGCTGCGGCTATTTCGGCGCCCGCCCGCCTTATATAGGGCGGCGCTCCCCACGTCACATGGGCTCAGAGGTGCTATGCAAATGAGGCCACGCCCCTCCTGCCGGGACCGCGCGCAGCTGCGCCCGGAGGCTTGGCTGCGATCCAGACGCTCCAGCCCCGCCCCGCATTCGCCAGCCCCCACCCCCTCCCGCCGGGAGAGACGCGCAGCTCTTTCCAGCTGCATCAGCCGCGGGGGAGCTGCAGTCCCCGGCGCAAGTGAGGGGAGGGCGGCTGCAAATTGGGGGCCACAGCATCTGTGGGGCACCCGGTTGAAGACCCTGCTTGGCGCTAAGCTGCCCCGCGACGTTAGCGGAAGCAGCGCTGCTTCCCTTTACCCGTTTCTGCGGCTCCAGACCGGGCCCCGCTTGGCTTTAGTCCAGGAAAGCGGAGAGCTTCCTTTGCAGGGCCGGAATGGGGGTGGGGGGCGCGAGATGGCTTCACCCTCCTCCCGTGTGGACTCGGGAGGCATGTCCCGCGGTTGCAGGAGGCCCTACGGGAGAACGCAGCTCTCCTCCCTTCCGCAAAGGGAAGACCCCCTTATCCACCCCTCCCGGATTCCCACGTCCGACCTCTTGCAAAGCCCTGGCAACCGCTGCCGCCCCCCCCCCGCCGCCCCCTTTAACCTGCCTTGGCTGCTAGCAAAGTCGTTGCAAAAATGGAGGCTTGAGTCAGAAATGCAAAGCGTTGCTCAAGCGCAGCAGGGAATTAGGTCGAGGTTGGCAGTTATGTAAGAAGCCACCCAAACATGTTGTTGTTGCGACTGGGCGAGGGCAGAGGGCGGGGGTGAGCCAAGCAGCAGCGCTCTGATCGGTGAGGGAGACCTGTGCGCCCCCTCCCACCTCTGCCTGCAGGAAGAGAGAGCTCCCCCTGGCTCTGTGGGTCTTCAAAAACTTGTCTTCTCCCTTACAGCCGCCTCCTGGCTCAGGAAGCAGCAGTGGGCAGGTGCAAAGGGGAAGGGAGCCCCCCCCCAGGCAGGCCACCCTTGCATGTGTGTGGGGTGTGCATGGCAGCAGGCATAGCTGCCTCTTTCCTTTGGCACTGCAAGAGGACTTAAGGGGGCAGGTGAACAGACCAAGGCCTTTGAGTTCTCTGCGGGGCAGGACACCCCTCCTCCCAGGGTGGGCATCTGTGCTCGGTGCCCTCTGGCAGTGAAGGGGCTGGAGGGCACAGCAGCTCCAGGGAGGTGGGGGGGGGGCGAGGTGGTTTTCCAGGGGGAAGCAGCGGCTGTGTGCCAACCGTTATCAAACCAGCCTCTCTTCCCCCGCTTGTCTCAGAGCGAGGACTTGCTGGCGGGCTCCGTTTCCAGCTGCTCGGCGACCACTCCCTTTGATGGAGGCCTTGGCAGAACTCCCAGTCCTGGGCTTACTGGCACGCCAGCGCATGGCCTGGGCGGGGCATGCAGCACATGGCTGCCTTGTGCTCGCTCTCTCCACAGTCTGGGAACCAGAAGGGATTCCCTTCCGCCTCCACACTGTTCAGGCTATGAAGGGGGGCAGCAGCAGGCCCACCCTCTTTTCTCCTGGACCCCTGCAACTAGGTTACCTAAAAGGAAGCTACTCCCTCAGGAGTAGGAGGTGGGGCAGGGGGAGTCCCTGTTTCAATCCTGTCCCTTCCAAGGATCGAAAATGAGACTCTTCGAAAGGGCAAAAAGAGCTCAAAGGGGCTTACCTAGGGAGCATTGCACATATGCTGCCCGGGAAGCGGTTAACACCCCCCCCCCCAGCTACACTATCTTGTCAGCAAAGGTGTAGTCTTAAAGGTTTGTTTTCAAATCAGGGCACTGGACATCTTCCCAGGTGTTGTTGTTTACACTGGAAGTTTATTGGTACCACTTGAATACACCTGGATGGTGGTACATTTTAGCTGGTGGGTTTCTGCAGCCCCCTTCCTGGTGCCTGGAAGATCTGTGCAGCTTCAGGGCAGGAGCGGGGCGGGGGGGAGCACATCCCTGGAGGAGGCCAGCCGCCCCTTCATGGGAGTTCCTGAAGGGGAAATACAAAGGCCGGGAAGGAAAGGGGCCCCCACAAGAGAGTGGGACTGTGCTTCTGTTGTCTGCATTCACACGCAGAATCGCATGCTGCTCACCCTTGTAATGCACACTCAGCCACAAATCATCGCTTGCCAATCAGGAAAGATGATCTGGTTTAGCAGATGATGGGGACTGCGAATCCAGGCTCTGGATCGGATCAGCACTCCCTGACTTTCAGCCACTCTTTGGGGCCCAGAACTGGCTTATGCAGAAGAGCACCCCACGTTTTGATGAGCTTCTCGTCCTGGATCATATCACAACGCAGAGTTTGGTGGTGGTGGGGAAAATTCTCCCTTAGCAGCTACCAGCCCTTGGCTGCTCTATCTGCTGGCCCACTAAACTGGCTGTGAAATAAGGAGAGCATTAGGGGGGTAGGGGGGCTCCTGGGGAGCAAAGAGAAATGGCCCTCTCTGTCCAGGCAGCTGGCAGGCCTAGAGGTTGCCAACTTCCCTGGGGACAGAGCAGTAACAGCATTGCGAATTGTGGGTCACTGGTGTTGGAACCATGTGCCAAGCCCAGGAAAAGGGCCTGAGGAAAATGCCCCCCTCCCCGCCGCTCGCCCCTTGCAACGAGCCAAGATTTGTAAAAACTACTTTTCTGTACTATCTTTTGGCCGGCCTCCCACCTCCCCAAATCCTAGGCCATCCCAGCTTCTTCCCTAGGATGTGGCCAGCATTCTGCTTCTGCTTGACTTTTAAGCTGAAGGATCCGCTCCCTGTGCCCGAAGCCTCTGGCATCCATAAAGGGCTCCATGCTTCCATGCACGTATTGAAAGGCATGGAGCTCTTGCTATTTTGCTTCCCCCTGAAATCCATGTGGGCTCCATGTGGAATCAGCATTCCCATTTCGATGAGCCCCCATCCTGGAGGCTTTAGGGATGAATGGGTGATGAACACAAGGCCAGCTCCTCCTAATGGCTCACCAGCTGAGTGGTCCCTTCTCTGGCACTGCTGGTCCCATTCCAGTTAAACCTGCCAGCTGTGAGTACCATGGTGAAGGGCTCTTCATTCAGCTGAGGGGATACTGCAGAGTCCTGTCCCTTTGGAATAATGTGGGCCCCGGGAGTGGTGCTCACCGCCCCTCCCAGCACAGTCCAGTCAAGAGAGCTGGATGGAGAGGGAACGTGGGAGATGCATCTTCCAGTTGGGTGCCCAGCAGAAGAAGCAACACAGATGGCCATGTATTTCCCCATGTGGAAGTCCAATTGCCTTGAGCCAGGTACCAGTTAAGGCCACCGTTACCTTCCCCAAAAGTAGCTATGCCCGTTGTGCTAACGCCTGCAACAAACTCTCCCATCTCACATCTGGACGTCTGCCATCCTCACAGTCCCTGACCGAGAAAAGTGGATAGGACAACTCAATGCTCCCAAACACACCGCTCCCTCTGAAGGGAGAAAGCAACTGTCCTGTCCACCTCCATCGCAACCACGGAACTTCCACGCCCCTTGACTGCAAAGCCTCTGCCCATCTCCAACTCCCCATCTCCCTTTGATCCAATTCGGCCCTGGTAGTTGTCGTCGTCCTCAGCGGTACCTGAGAGGGTCAAAGGAGCCCAGTCAGGGGTTGCCACCAAACCAGCAGAGGTTCTAAGCTTCTGAAACGGAACCACCTGTTCTGGCCCAATTTCCCGAAGCACTGATTGGTGCAGGGAGAGACTCTGGGCGCTGCTTAGGGAAACGGGACCAGAAGGCCGAGCAGAGACCGAATGCAGCCAAGCTCCATGAGAGAATCAATGAACCCAGGAGCCGTACCTCTGGCCTGAAGGTCTGCGGACAGCTGGGTCTCTCCAGAATTGGCAGCCCTTTCCCCTCAGCAGGGACCTTCTCCCTTGCACGCCCTAGAAAGGGCAAAAGAAGGGGGTGGCACATTTTCCTGCCAGGTCCAATGTTGCACATTTGGGAGGAAAAGTTGCCAGGATCTTCTCAGGCAAAGCAGAGGAAGGAGGAGAGGCCCTGCTCACCTGAGCAGCCCCCCACACAAACCGCTGACCGACAAGCTCATCCCAGGACACTCCCTGTGCCCGCCTGCCAGCACAATCCCTGTCCGGCCCATGCGATCAATGGAGGGGGGTGGGCAATGCATCAGCTCTCGGAGGAAACACCTGAGAATTCTCAGGTGCCCTGAGGGTTGAGGCAGGCTGACTCCCAATTGGGGGTGGGGGTGGGGTGCTTGAGGCAGAGGGGCAGCCCGACTGGAGCCTGTCCTCTGCCATTTCCTTCACCCCATCTGCTCCTAGCAGACCAGAGGGAGGGAGCCTCGCCCAGCCTGCCAGGCGCACCCTGTCACGAGACGACCTGCCTCCCCCGCAGTAGGCAACCAACACAGGACCTGCAGAGATGCCCCCCTTTTCTTTCCTGGGAAAAAGGCCCTGCCCACTTCTCTGCAATGATGCCCAAGGCGGGACTGTCTCTGGTCAGCCACAAGCCACCCGCGGGCGCTCCCAGGGCAAAGTCCTCTCGGACACCTGCCAGGTTCAACTTAAGCTCCCGCCTGGGATCATCGGGCCGTTTCTTCCCCTTGCACAGGCTGATAGAGATGGGGAGACCGGCTTCTTCTCGGCGCCCCTGGCTGCCCACGGGTGGTAGGCCCGGAACCCGGGCAACGCCGGCCCCTGTGCCCTCCCCCTCCTCACCCAGGCTGCATTTGCAGGGCAAGCGAATAGGGAGAAGTCCTGCGCGGGGCCCCAGCGAGGAAGCCGTCAAAAAGGACGCAGAGGTCTGCACGGCTCTCCCCCACCAACCCATTTGCCACCGTTCCCCCCTCCCCGGGCAAACAGCCCCCCCCCCCCACAGCCGCCGCTGCCCCGAC